AATAATAAATAATTAAATGTCAGTTATTCAATATTCATATACATAACTGTAGACTGTTCATCAGTATTAAACAGGACGGAGACATATAACAATCTTAATTTTGGCTCGGCACAGATGTCCAGTCTCACCACTCATATTCAATATATTTAAGAATGCAGCGGAACTAAAATAAAGGGACAAATACAGTAATTACATTTGCTGACGGTATAGCTTCACTAGTAGTAATACTACACCCAGCTACAAGCACTATGACAGTTTTGAAGTCTACATGGATAATTGTAAATATTTTCTAAAATAAAGTATCTATTTCTAAGTTGTGTCGTAAAAAGAGTATAAAATCATTTGTCATATGCATACGGTAATAAACCTAACCTTTTTTGGTCGAACTAAGAAAATATAAAAATTGTAAACAATACTAATAGCGGAGGTAGTTTATAAAACAGAATGTAACCTGCCATTCTAATTAATCTTACAACTGCATGAACCCCAGCGAAATGATGTGTGAGTGAAATTTGAGTATAAAACTTTGTTAATGAATAACAAACATCTCAACATCTTTACAAATTTTCACATTTACAATACTAGCATTACTATTACAGTATTCTACGTATTTACAAGTGTGACTTAAGAAATATTCCATGTACAAATATAAAACATGGTTTATCTGTGTATCAAAGGTACTGCCCGATATAGCACATGAATTATGCACTAGCGTCTATTGAAAGAATTGTACCTTGTTTTTGTAGTTCTTCCAACATCAAAAGTTTTATGTCCCTAATCCCTAAATAACGAAAAGTATATTTTTTGGGATGTGATTTTACCAACCCTCAAATATATTTCTAAACGTATAACCTTATTTCTTCATTAGTTGCTACTAATGAAGACTTTATATGTTATTATTTCAAAAACATCGCAATGGTGAAAGTATCTATTAAAAATTAAATTCAAATATGGATACATACAAGTTTTTAATAAAATAATATTAATACTTACGAACAATTATGACTATAATTAGTATAAGTAGTCATAAATACGTTCATACTGTATAATACAATATAATGCCAACACATGCAATTTCACCTCATTAACTTTCCCCAGCAATAAAATCAGTGTTCGAGTAGCATTCAACCCAGATAGTTTTATTTAACGAAACCCCTCATTAATCAATAAATCAATTAATTATTAACACAGAATTGTGGAAGCTTAAACCCCCACGCCTATATATATGAACAAAAGAACAAAGAACAAAAGTGTACACCTACAAATAAACTATAAACAATTAAACTGAAAAATCATCTGCGTCCAGCCACAAAGCAGCTTGCTTTGTAAGCTATGTTTCAGTAGGATGCAGATTAGGCAGTGAAATTAAAGGATAAAAGGCAAATCCTATGGAATAGTATAATGGGTGTAATATGTTAAAGCGATAATATACATGAGTATATTGGCATCGATCCGGCACTAATTCTATATCCGCATTGTTCTGAATAACTGAACCGAGGTACCGAAAATCGAAACAGACTGGAAACATTACACCATTTAGGCTGATAGGCTTGAAACTGGAGGTAAAACTAAAAAGTATTTATGTAGTCCAAAATGGATATTTTGCGAGTGGAAAATAGCATCCTCCAATTCAATAGTTTTAAATTTAATAATTGTGTCAGCATACCAGATCAGTTACGAAATTTTTTTTTTATAGTTTATTTGTAGATATCTATTTTCTGTTCTTATTTATATGAACATATTTATGACAATAATATGAAGTTACTTCGAAAGTGTCTACATTGTTTTTGGGTAAAAAATTATGCATATTCATGTAAACATAATTAGTTTTATAGAAATGGTGGAAAATTTGTGCGTCATTTCGACGTAGCTGACTAATGAATTAATATATATTATTTTAAATGGGTTTTTGGGGGGTTAGTATAAAAACGTACCCCCAAAAAACGTGGTTCTTGGTATTTAAATTTCTAATATCGCAAAATCCTAAAAATATATATTTTAAGAGGCTTAGAGAGTTGTGTACACTTTTGTGTGGTCGTTGTAGAGGAATAACAAAACAAAACCAAGGTACAATTCCTATAATAGATGCTATTGCACATTTCTTGTGCTTAAACGGGAAGACACTTTCAACTAAAACATTAAATGTGAGACTAACATAAAAATCATTACAATTTCTCACAATTATAAAATTCTATACACTAGAATGTGATAATTTGTAGATTTGATGCGGACGTTGATGCAGTCACGGTAACAAATGTAATTTACATGTATATCAGATGGGCCATATTTATAAATTAACGTAAATATTTTTTAACCTAACTTAAATAGTAGTTTATGGACAGAGATCAATTAATTTTAAATCAATGGTCGTTATATTATTTACATTTTCATGTGGTTATCTGTTTATTATGAACGACCATACTTATAAACAAGGTCGCAAGTAAATACGACCACCAATTCAAAAATGAAATGATATCTTGGTACAAATTCACTTATTTCTAACAGTCTAAAATTTTGATGGCTCACTCTACATAATATTTACAGATGAAAATTAAAACTATCATTAATTAGCTAGTTGTGTATATATGTACATTGGTACGGACGCACAAATCAGAAATTCTATTGAAATGTGTGCACATTTTGCTGGGGCGACGCACACCTTACAACTAACGTGCGACGGTCCTCAGACCACTGCATTAACCGAAACTATCACATTTTTTCAGAATACTTTAAAATGGCGGATATTCGACGTAGTCCTTATCGAACACACACGACTTACGGCTCTACTGAGATCTAAAGAATGTAAGTTTATGGCATCGACACACGTGCTTCGTGCTAGAGTTCAATGTCTACAGCGGCATGTGCATGTAGAGGTCATACCGCGGATGAGGGCGCGGGGGTAACGCGGGCCCCGTCGGGGGCTGGTGCGGGTGCGGGGGCGATTGCGCGGTCCCGAACTCCGCGCTCGCCCACTCTGGTCACAAGGAGTAAGACTCTTCACCTACCGCCCCGCACACCGCGTTCTATTGATGAGTGTTATTAAAATTCATACCCAGAATATTTAATGCAGAATTATGAACGCCCTGCATATTGAAGTCTATTGGTCGTGACTCTATAAAACCTACTGGCATATGGTGGGGTATGATGGTCATGTGGGGTTGCTGCTCCGGTTGCTGCATGATACTACTTTCCATTTTCAGTTCAAGGGGTGGGGAGGTGCGTTCTCTTTTTATTCTGTTTCTGATGCTCGGCCTGTTATTTGGATAACCTCTTTTTTTGTACTCGAGCCAGAGTGTCCTATTGTTAACGCCGAACATACGTGCTGCCTTACAGAAACCGATCCCTCCGAAACGTACCGCTTCTAATGCTCGTTGGAAATTTTCTTCAGCTTGTGGATTAATAGTACGCCGTCGCCGCACTATGGGTGCATTTTGTGTCATTTGAACAGGAGTCTGGTCCGGAGCTAAACTGCGACCTGGCGTGGCGTTATCCACGGGTATCCCATGGGTGAATGCATCCAAATTTACTTCCTGGTTAGCAGTGACGACATTATTCATATACATGTTCCCTGCTGGTTCCTGCTGCAAACCACCGACACCAACGCACGTGTTATAGCGCGGATATTGATTTTCCATCATACTCCACTGCGATCCTGGGAAGAGAGATAAATGATTTTGTAATAAATTTGTATTAGATTAAGCATATGGTTTTTGACAAACAATACTACATGTTTCATTGATCTCCCTTCCCTGTAAAGTGAGCCACAGATAAGTGTTATACTATTTTCAAAAAGATTATTACCATTAATGAAAGTAATATACATACAGGTTTTAAGGGAAATCACTATGAGGTCTATAACATAATCAAAAGCAAAATAAAACATATATATAGTAACATTCAATTTATAAATTTATGAAACACATCAATATATTTTTTATAATATCTTGGCTAAAGTTTAATAATATTAAAAAGAAACCACTTCTTGTATCTTTAACGTCTTTTGACATACACTAAGACACAAACTAACTTCAGCTTTGTGTAATCAATAACTTATGTACATAAAAATATTTCCTTTTACAGCTAAACATTCAAAGATACTGTTCGCGGGCCTGATTAATGATACATGCAGTCCAATGGAATATGCAGTCTCATAAGAAGCAAATTCCTATAGATAATACATATTTCATGTGAATTAGCATTTTATGTTAAATCTGGCTACTTCAGAATTTTATAAGTTGAAAATCTTAAATTTGAGAGATTCTATCTAATCGCATTGACAACAAGCCGTTAGTGTCAATTTACGGACCAAGAACGGGCATCTACACCACGACGGCCGGGCATATGCAATGGGCAGTAATATTGTCGCTATACTATGATATACGAAAACGTTAGAAATAATGAGAATAACGTGGATTGATTGTCGGGGTTACCATTAGTTCACCACAATAGTATTCTGTTATGTTCGTTCTGTTATGTTAGGCATAAAAACTTTCTATATACAATAGGAATATAGATCTTTTAACAACTGGAAAGACCGCCTTTTGTTTTAGACAGGCAGTTACGTTTAATCTCAAAAACCATTCGAATCGCGTGGAACAACTGTATATTCTTAAAATTACCGTTACAAAAATATTTATAATATTATTATGGTAACAGTATATTTCTGTATTAATATTAATAAAAATCTAGTTCTCCAGTCGTTTCAGTATAGTAATTATTTTTTATTGTTACTATTTTCAATCAGCTTTATTAATAGTGCATTGAACGTCGCGGACAATATCATTTTACTTCTTGACTAATATTTCACCCTAAGCTTTGGACTACTGTGCTGCTGAGACACACTCAAGCGTAATTACGTAATTGTTTGTTAAACTCTTCATCATCTGTTCATCAATTTCTTTATCATTTATATTAGAAAATAATAAAACTTTGCGCGCAAAATAGGATATTTTCATAATTTTCTCGCATAAATCATTTGAATAAATAAACATGCAGCTTACCTTGTTGAGATAAAACACCGCTATCATCCATCGTCATGGGCGCCACATTTATGTTCTGGGGTTCATTTTGCTGAAACAGATATAGTGTATGATGAAAAATTTAATTTGTTAGAAATGTAAGATTGCAATTTTCGAAAAACCAGGGGAAGGAGATTGTATGTGGACTGTTGACTCCATTGCCAGCAATGTACCATGTCAGGTTGAGATCCACACGGCTCCCCTGGAAACAATTGTGATAAATTCCTGGTGTATTTGCTACAAAGAGCTAACTGACCTGACCTCAAGCTCATTCTATCATCCCCCACTGGTACCCCGTCAACGTAAACCATAGTGCAGGCAGATGCACCATTCCATTAACATCTATTAAAAAAATATTTAATAGATGGAATGGTGCGAAAAGTAAAAGAGCACCAAAGAATTATTCATACTAATATTATAAATTAAATAGTGTGATTGTCTGTTATGACCTTTTCACAACTAAAAATATAGACACCTTTTATTTAAACATAAGCAGATGAAGTCACAGTAACAACCGATTAGATATGGGATATGTTCACCAGAAAAGTACCTAATAAAAGATGAAATAACGATTTTGTGTGTAAGATGTAGTGTCATAAGCACGGAGACAATTAAGAACAGGCACAAACAGAGTATGTTTGAATAAATGAATATAAGAACGTGAGCACTGTGTCCCAATTTCAATATAGTAGATTGACAATTTCTATTTCTATTATTGGAATAATTTTTGTTACTAGAAATGTTTATTTCATTTCAATTTCATTATAAAATATTATTTAAGACTAACATAATTTGGGGTTTTATGCCCGCTTGATGTGCGACCTACGTAATTAGGTTGTCATTGCAATCAATTATCATAATTATTACAACAGTTCATAACATTGTTATTTAACAATGTTAATAAAATTTCTGGTCCTCCACTTGTTGACAAAAAATTATAATTTGTTGTTCTTATTAATAATCTAACAGGGATAAGGTTGACGGTACTAAACCCCATGAGTGATCCACCCATGCGACGGACCGATCGAGTCAAAGCAGCAGTAGGCGGCCCACTCATGGAGTGGGCCGCCTATATGTACCAAAATAGCAACCATTTCGCCATTTCTCTCTAAATCTCCATTTTGTAGTGGAGTGAGAACTCCATTCTGTCAAGAGTATATCTCTAAAATATGGTCAAGCGCAGTGATGGCAGACTCATCTCTAACTCATCAACTCATCAACTGGTCTGTTCTAATCAATACGACTAATTTACTCTTATTTAGTTGCTCAACCAGTTGGTTGTATATTTAATATTTTGAGTATAATTAGTCCTAATTGATAGTTTGTATTCACACACTGCAACTTAAAAATGTAAAGTAAGAATAAAACTATTTAAAAGAGCAACTGCAAGTTTCTTGCTCATTCTTCTTGTGATAAGACAAGATAGCTTTCCGAATGAGTGGTAGAAAAAAAATGTGATGACTATTCAAAAGTGCTGCAATGTAAGTTATATTTAAATAAATGATTTTCTATCCTTTTCTATTCTATTGAATAAAAAGAAGGAGATTAACAATCTGTTTATATTTCAGAACTGTAATCACAAAATAAATTACTTTTTAGTTATGATGTTTGAAATAAATCGTGTGTTATTCTGTAATTAAGTATTTATGATATCAAACCTGCACTGGTGGTAATGCATCTATCCTGTCATCTGGTTCGCTGTAGTCTATGCGTCGCTGCTGAGGCAACGTGCTTAAAGTGAGTGCTGGCTCTCCCGATACCATTTCCAAAGGTGCACTGTCATCATTTTTCATTTCTTCAGGAAGAGCAGGATTAGTGGAGCAATTTGAACTGCATCGCCTAAAACAATTGTGTATGTAGCTTTATTATATTTTGTATTGTATTGTAACTTTGCTATATTTTATATTGCAAAATTTAATGGACCTGTTGTCACTCTGCTCTCACATTTTAATAAATTCATGAGGTATCTCTTATTGGCTTTACTAATAAAGTAATACCAATGAATGTGTATAATTTGTATAACTTGTTAATTACCTAAATAAAAAAAGTACATGCTGCCACAGATCCGAGTAATTAGACCAAATTGCTGCAATCATAAAACATGCAGAATAGCTTTAAAATCTGTTATAGAAAAACTGTGTACGGAGAAATGAGTAGTAATTTTACTCAAATGTATGTAATAATTACAATATTACGCCGACTTAGTGTCGGAGATCAAGCCTGGGTCCATAGTCTCTATCTTTAGTCTAAATAATTGGTGTTTTTATAGAATTTTATTAATTATCATTTTTTCATATAAGATACCCCTTGCGGAAACATTATTGTGTACCATCCATTTGAGGCTACAGTGTAGAGCTTATATTTCATGTGATTTACTTATGTAATTAGTTTATTTAAATAATAGTAATACCTAAGACGTTTCGGAGGAGGTGAGGATATCGGTGAATCGTTGGAACCACCGGGTGACTGCGACTCTGATTTTCCGCCTTGCGACCTTGTGAGTGAAGTGGCTTGAGAGGTATCAGTTTCAGTTAAACCTTTTATTTTTAAAGTTTTCGCTGTATCCAGCACCTATAGTTGTACAAAAATATCATTAATAAATCATATATTATAAAATAAAAAATTCTAAACTGATCTTCTAAAAAAAATAAGTATACCCTCATGTTAACATGGTGCGCATATTTTTAAACCCTGTATTATACCTTATATGTTTTAGGATTGGTTTTCCAAAAATAGGTTAAATAGTAATAATAATACTATTTTTTTTTTTATTAGTAACGACAAATAAAGAAAACTAATACAAAATCACGTGACTCTCAGTTTAAAAAAGTAATGATATTTATTAAATATAAATCGATTGATTTCAATCGAAAGTCGTCTCGCTCGATCTCATAAGCATAGTAAACATTGATCAAATTTCATTTAACGAAATTTACTATATTTGATATGTTGGCTACGACAAAGAATCTTTCTTTGTCGTAGCACTCAGAATTACGCAAAACAAAATTACCTTCGGTAGTTGTTCTTGGGTAACATTTACTTCACCGAAGTACATGAAGTCGACCATTTTCAGCAGGTCGGCAAACGTGACATCCTTTAATATAACTATTGGATGTTGATTTGGAGATTCTACAAATAACGTCTGAAAATACACATATATATTAATTTGATATGCTAATAGTCTTAATCTGTGCGTTGACAGGCTAACCCTTCCATATAAATAATTTTCACTTACATGAAAATAAGTGCTGCATGCGGACAGTACAATTTTGTGTGCACGCAGGTGTCTCCCTTCTGCAGAGAGAGTCACGTCGACTAAAGTCTGTGTACGAAGCAGATTGCCGAATACAGCAATGAAGTTAGGTAAGTGGTTGTTCCACTTCAAACTATATTGTTGGGACATTTTGAAAATGTTCTGCCGCCGTAATCTGTAACAATCAAATGCAAAATTAAAAACAAAAAAATTTCAACTGTGAAATATTTAAAACTTGTAATTACTTACGTATACTATACTACCTAACATTCTTTTTAACTGAAATCATGAGAAGCAACTTTACTGTTTACAAGCATTCTTTATAATGCTTCGTGTTATTTATGAATTACTTGTATGTTCACTATTAAAAATCAACAACGTCTTGTGATTTTCGTGACTGGCAATAGCAAATCGCACGATAGTAAATCGCGGAATACTTTATTTAGATTACTCTTTATTAGTGTATTTTGAAAATATGATAAATAATAAATAACTCTTTTAGCCTTAATTTCAAAAGCGCGGTGAAGCTTTGGTAACGCTTAATGTCATGAAGTGAAATGAAAACTTAACAATGAAATCAATGTGGTATATATGTGAACTAAGCTCTGAAATAACACTTTTTGACAAATACATTTTCAAATACATCAAATATTCCCTTCAATCGGTAGAAAATACTTATTTGAATGTTGACATTCAACTAACCTATGAAATATACTGATTTTATTCATGGTTTCAAGCCAATAACAACGTAAGGAGAAGCAAAACAGCTATGTTAACTAAGAGGAACAGCAAAACACAATTTTAAGGTGAAATTATCGACTACCTAATATTATCAAAGAACAATCATGTATTGGTAATTTTAACTTCTGGATTTTATCAATATAAGTGTCTACCAAAACACGATATAACAAAGGGTTGTAAACATATTTCATAGCACAGTTCAGTTACCATCTTACTAAATATAAAATTTATTTTAAAAATTGTGAATCGAGGTACGCCACCGCTCAGTTAACTGCGATTCGTGCATGAGAAATACATGCAAAACAGCATGTCATATGTAACTGTCTCGTCTCACGATTGTGTACATTAAATACGTAGATACTAGTGAAAAGTAAAGAAAAATAAGAGGTAAAATAATTAAAAAGATTATATAATGACTATCTAAAAGAATTATCATCTCCAGCACCAAATATATTTTATAATAATATTTCTTATCTATAGTTTTTCAGGCCCATTAAAAGAAAAAAATATATTAATCTTTGCTTGCTGTGATAATGCTTGGTTTTAGATGGTTCCAGCAACATTTATTTTTGTAAATAAATGAAGCAGCTCGTAATATATTTGTGTAATCGTGCTACAATGTAGAACAGATATTCAAGCCATGATACTGCAAGGGTTCCTGTAATATTTCTGTTGTGAAACTGAATTTGAAAACCAATTTGAAGAATATAGTTTGTTAAAATTGAAATTGTAGTTTTTTAGTACTCTAGGACTATATTATTCACGTAAATACCTAATATTACAACAATAATAATTTAATATAGTTATAGTTTTATTTACCTTATATATTATACCTTCTGGATTGCCACACTTCTGTGTTGCTGTTGAATAGGCTCCTTACTGAAATAGATTTTATTTAAAAGTTAATATGTTAGTGACATTACAAAACAGCTAGAGGAGTAACAAACAAACGGATGCGAATCGTTCTCACATTTAGAACACCGCACCATACAACTGGCACAAGCAAAGAATCCTCCCTAACTGAGACTTCATTTAGTAAATCAAGTAATCACTATGTATTTAGTATATTATCCCACTAATACATTCACTAAGTTTAACACACATTAACCTTAAAGGTTTGTTATGTGGAGGAACTTATGTCCAACTGTGATCATGTGTATCTATCTTATTACCTAACCGACCAGATTTCGTATCATTTTACCTCCAGTTTAAGCTAGCACATCATTGCAGTGACCTTATTGTCGCGGGATATTTACACCTTGTTATCAAAGTATGATAGTAGGTGTAATCTGTATTCTTCAATGCATTCCTTATGCACTAATTTATAAAAAATAATATAAAATATTAGTTCCCTTAGCACTACTGTGTACATAATAGACGCACAATAGTACATAAATTACAATACTACAAGTCCAGCATGCTGGTTGCCTCTTTATTTAATAAAGTCAATAAAGTACCACCTTATGCACTTTTAGATATAAAAATTAGTAATGTTATAACAATAAAAATGTTTAATGTTATAATGGTATTTAAATGTATATTATTAGACCACTGTTATGCAGTTGAATAGCTTTAAATGAAATTTGGGCCACAGATTGACTACTCGCATCCAAATGGACCTAATTGAACTGTAATAGTATTATTTAAGAGATAAGACAGTAAATAAATAAGCCAACTATGTATATTATCATTCCAATTCACGCCAATATAATATTTGCGACCGTATATCGGTCTAAATCTAGTATATACATATGTATAACTCATTACGTATAACTGTAATGTAAAAAGGTTATCACAAATTATTATTAACATTTTTTAAATGAATCACCTGATTGTTGCAATTACAATGTAAGTCCAATAAGTGTGATAAATTATTCATGTCATATGAATACACGTGATGTTATACAAGCATTTTGCAAGAAACATTTAAAAATGGATTTCGCAGGAAAGAAATTGACAAAATAATAGCTAGATAACATTGCAGAATACATATATATATATTAAATATAATTTTTGTTTTGTATAAACTATTCAATTGAAAGGGTATTAAATTTGGAAACTGAATGTTATTTATGAATTACTTGTATGTTCTTACACCAATTCCTAATGCAATTTTAAAGTATCCATCATACAGATATTATTGAATAATTCATCATCTTATAGTAATTCTAGAGGTCCTCTAACTGTTCTGACTTGCCACACATTTTACTTTTGTATAAATTGCCTGTTTTGTAGAGTCATAGGAAAAGTATTATTACTTCTTCAATCAATCAATTTTCAATCATATATAGTCAACATGAACACCTTTGGACAAACTGTTCAGCAAATGACTGCTTACTGAATCTTATTGTTGTTAATCAACGTAAATTGAGAATAAAATTAGTCGAAACATTCAGATTTAGATGATGAATAATCAATAATAGAAGTTGTGAAAATGAGTCAAGTAATTAATATAAATATAATACAAAAATAAACTTACTAATATTATAAACGCGAAACTTTTTGAATATGGATAGATAGTGGATGGATGTTCGATATTATTTTTACGCAAAACTATAGAATAAAATAATGTATACATCAGATTAATACATAGGCTATACATTTCACTCGGGTGAAACCGCGGCACAGCTAGTATCTATTATGTTATATGGATAGATATGGATGGATCAATGTTTTTACTCTTTCAAGCAAAAGTTACAGAACCAATTTGTATTATCGCGTATTGATCAGACTAACTCATATATTTCACAGGAGTGAAACTGCAGGCACAGCTAGTAAATTATATATGGAGGTTAATAATCATAAGGCAAGTAATGTCATGTAGGTATTGTAGATAGTTTTTGAATAGGACAAATCATCTTCTGACTACTATGAAAATATCCCACTATGGCAGTCATTGATAACTAACATCCTGGATCTTTGTAAAGAATACTTTAATGAAGAACATCGCGAAGCCAATATAGAAATTTCACTAGTTAAACTTTGTAAAAAGGCAATTTAAAGTTAAAATTTTGGAAAAATTTGTAAACATGGAGAAGTTTTATAAAGATATATGATAGAATAGCTCTTCTAAAAAAATATTTAGACATTGATATATGATAGATTAGCTCTTCTAAAAAAAATATTTAGACATATTTAATGTCTTGTCATTTCATTTGTTGTCAGGTGACCACTGTGCAGTTGATACTTTAGGTGTCCACGGGAAACAATACTGTTTATCCTCAGAATATGCTTGGTTCAGATTTACATGTTATAAATGAAATTTGGTATAACACAAGAACTTAGAAACATTAAAAATAAATTTATATGATATTTATACTACGCAAGCAGTCCCTATGCAAATAGCCCCTACAGAATATTTTCCAGAGATAATAATTATATTTGTAGTAAGCAATGGATTGGTGGAAACTGCACTCATGTTCATGCAATTTGTAATTGCATAGTACTAAAAAATCCCACAACAATAAGGACACTGTAACAAAAGAGTAATGAAAACTCATGACCACTGCTGACCATGTGTCTGTAACAGAATTATTATATGTACAGTTAATGACACTTATACATAACTATGTATAGATTACTATTAACAATAGCTATATGAAAGAAATAATTGAAAATAATTAGTATTATAGTATTTCATAATTTTCTTGAATACTTATTATAAAGTAATAAATAATTTCTATAAAGATATATGCAAATATTAATTGACAATCGAAATGTAAAATAAGGATACTCTGTTCCAATATAATATTAACCATAGACAATTAGATAATGCTGCTTAAAGTGACCTCAATAAAATATTAATAATTTTATTGAATATTTCATTAAATTATTTCACTTACAAATATAAAATAATGGCAAACAAATCAAAATCCAACTTACACAAATGATGTAAAGTGTATGTCATGAATTTTAAAAGATATTGACTTCTAACTAAACAAAATATCATAGAATATAGCATGTAATGTATGTATTATAAAGTAATGTATAATATGGAAATGAACGAGTTGAATAAAATTATTTTAAGTTGTCCTCTCTACAATAACTCTCTCTACACTTCTTCAATGCTCTCCTTTACTATGTGATACCTTCTACTACTACTATTTCTACTCTATCATTTTTAATAATTTGTTTGTTTATATACATACAAATTATTGTACATATGTGTTCCTTTTATGTTTTAATAATATAAAACTGTAAATATATTAATAGTACAAATTATGATAACTGATTATACTTGTGTGTATATATTTTATTTATATCTCTGCATATTTTCTTTTTACAGTTCTATTATCTAAAACTTCTCTTACTATCCTGATCTTTGATACAAATTCTGTTTCCACAAAATCTTTAATATATGCATTACCTTTTCCCTAATTATCTTAAGCAAATATACAAATATGGCAAGC